GTTCCTGGTTTGTAAATTTCTGGCCAGCAACTTGGGTGGCTAGGAAACCCCAAACCGGGGTGTAAGAAATAGGAGGAATTGGGAGAAGATATCCTAAGCAAAACTGGCTGTAGGAGGCTGGTCAGGTAAGGCTAGGATTGTGAGGATTAATTTCCTACTATTGAGCGGGGCCTGATTTTGTGGGCCAAATTAATGAGGTTTGAATTGTTTCCAAGTGAGTGATTTTGGGATTAGGAAACAATTTATTAATCCACCCTAGAGAGCCGGTTTGGACTAATCAAGCATGGGGAGGATTGATGAGGTGGATTGATTGCTTCTATTTGGGTATTGGGAATAGGAAAGGTTTTTAATTTATCTTTTTGAATTTCAAAAATTCAAATTGAACTTAATCTAAGAAAGCTTTCCTAAAGTATGTTCACTTAAATTAAGAGGAAGTATAATGTTATTAACTCAAATTGCTTTGAAAGATTTGAAAATTAATCTTCAACCTTTAAGAAGTGGGATGCACTTATGGAAAATTGATATTAATGTGTGATTTGAGAATTCGGAGAGGGAGAAAATTAGAGAGGATGGAGTTTTGTTGTGACAGCAATTTAACTCCTTTTCTAAATGGTCCTCTTTAATTTGGAAGAGACAAAATAACTTTTTGTTAGGAAACGATGAACCAAATACGGTCGAATCCCGTCAGGGGCGCTGCCTTACTATAGACACATATCTACGAAGCTGTACAACGATGACAAATAGGGTTCTTGCTGCCAGAACCCTCCTGCTGCTGTCCAGGACCTTCCCAAGTCCTCCAAGTGGTTGTCCCAAGTTTTCTACATGACAAAACTGCTGTCCCTGCTGCCTAAGCTGCTGTCCAGAGATTCCTGCAGCAGTTTGTTGCTGTCCAGCCCCTCTGGGAGCGACCGTGGCTGCCCGGAACTGTCCGGAATCGCTATCCCAGGTTGGCTACTTGCTGTCCAGAATTTCCCAAGTGTCAAAAGCTGCTGTTTAAACTTCACGAGTTGCTCTTCAAGACCCTAGGACTGAAAACCTCCTACCCGTTCTACATCACTTAATCTTAAAATGCCCAAGTGATGTACATTGATTATGTGTTGGCTAGTGTGCCTATTAGACCATTATTTGATGTCTTATTTTATTATGAAATAGAAAAAGATTTAATTTATTTCAAGAATAGTTTCACTTTAAGATGTTTGTGATTTAAAGCTATTATTTGAATTTTAAAGACGTTTCATATTTTTAAAAAGTTATGAATAACCCCAGGAATAACCACTGTTTATTTTGAGATAAGCATGTAATTCACAGTGTTTTGAGATCCAATAGCACAAACATTCCAACTTATTGGGCTGAAGTGATTCATCATTCCATCAAAAGGAATCTAAAGTTATTTTAAATAATTCTCTTCATGTTTGATTAATATAAAAATAAAGACTTAATTTTAGATCAAGCAAGTATGTTCAAAGGTTTTACTTAGGATTTTGTGAATGTTTTCTAATTATGCTAAACAAATTTAAAAATAAGCATTGTTCAAGAGACCTATAGGTTTGAATTTAAATTAAATAGAGTTCACTTATTTTTAGCTAAGTTTTGAAAATATAGAGTTGGTTTAGACAAGGAAATCACTAACTTGAATGAGATAAATAAGTATGAAACCAAAGAAAAATAGGCCTACTTGATTTGAGTAAAATAAAAAAAGCTAAGGCTGATATGGGAAGAGCTTAGGAGTTATTTGCTTGATTGGGTCAAACAAATGAAGGTGGTGATATGAATCTATAACTTTGGGGCTAAGGAGCAAAGGGAAACTTATAGATGGAAGGCCAAGGGATAAAATTCATGTGATTTTGTGTTTCACAAAACAAGGTTGGGCTATTTATTTGAAATGGACATCAATTATGAAAACTATAACATTCCTGAATCATCATAATGAAAACACATTAATGTCCCATTGTTTTACAAATCTCAGGGCTGACCCAAGGAAAATAATCAGTCTTTAATAATAGTTTACATGAAAAACTGCTGCATGGGTTTTTGTTTCGCAAGAAAAAGGAGATAGTGTAAAATAGTTAAAAGAGCTAACTAGGTGTGATAGGAAAAAAAAGACAGAAGCCATAAAAAAACAACTACCAATTAATTTAACACAGCGCATGACCCTACTCTTATTTCAAAACATGGTCAACGCATTATTAGAACTGTGCTTCTTAAGTGAGGATTAGCAACAACAAAGTTAAGCACAAAAGCCCATTAGAACAACGAAGCATGAAGTATACAACATAGCGAGCCATGCCGAAGCACTGTTTTTTTTTTTTTTTCAACAGTTACAGAATAGAAGGTCTATGTCCCCTGACAGTTCTCAAATCACCAACACTTGACCCCACTCCAGCTTCTTTTCCCCTTCAGCGAAAAAATCTACTTTGTGATCGTTCAAGCAATTCTCTGAGCCCATCTCCAGCTCACTACTAATTGCTGCGTACGGAAGACCTATATGCCCATATGTCTGACGAAGAAAAAGGAAATCCCAACAAACATCGAGTACCATGTAGGAAAACACAAATGACACAATATTGCTACAACAACAACAAGCCTTTATCCCACTACGAGCGATCAGCTACATGAAACCTTTTCTGTATTTTGTCTTGTTAAGAGTCAATTTTTCATTTAAATCTAATAAAAAACGTCATTTCTAATATTTTCTAATCTTTCTTAATATAGGCCAAATCTAATACATCTACTATCCTAATCTTATGAAAAGGTCGACATTTTATGTAACTAAACCATCTAAGGCGACTCTCTCTAATCTTATCTACCACTGGAGCTACTCCAACCTTATCACGTATATACTTGTTTTGCATTCTATCTCTAAGTGTAAAGCCACTCATCAATCTAAGCATCCTCATCTCTGCAACACTTAACTGAATTTTTATGCTTCACTCCTAAGTGTCAACATTCTGCATCATAAAGCATTGCAAGTCTCACCATCTTATAAAATTTTTCCTTAACTTTGAGCATTACTTTTCTATCACACAATAGGCCCAACACATTCCTCCGCTTCAACCATCCAACTTAAATTCTACTAATAATATCCCCATCTATTTCACCATCGCTTTGAACAATAGACCTGAGATATCTAAAAAACAATTTTTTTATGACTTGATCACCCAATGTCACAATCTCACAACTAGATCTAATACTAATAATGAGAATAAAAAAGTAAATATACAACAATCTAAAGATGAGAAATATAATATGCATTTAGATCATCCAGCAAGATAGACCAACCATAGAAGATAATGTACAGACTTGTAAAAAGCGAAATTTAAATAAAGCAATGCATTTAGAATGTCAAAAAAAAAAACAACATTTATTACCTTTTCCATTCTCTTTATAATTTTACTTCGTGTTTTTTCCTGCCTCTCAGTAAATTGTCCTTTGTATGTTTGCCATGTAATTTCATCTGCATCATTCTAAAAGATGAGCATAATTTAATACCTCAATCGATCATCACCAATCAATCAAAAATATTAAAAAAATAAATTCACGTAAATAAAAGCATGCTCCAGTATTGGGAAAGTCAAGTAAAAGACTTTTTCCTCCATGAAGAACGAATGCACAAAGACATTTCAAGCCAAAATATCAGAAAAGTAGATTGAGTGGTTTTTTTTTAATTATTTTAATGCTTGAAACTACAAAACCCAGTCTCTCACCAATTATTTTGTCTTCATTAATAACATCAACAATAATTTACCATTTAAGGTCCAAAAACCTGATGAAAATACTGTCTTCATTAAAACCAATTATTTTGTCTTCAATCTTCATTAATAGCATCACCAATAATTTACCATTTAAGGTCCAAAAACCTAATGAAAATACTGTCTTCATTAAAACCAATTATTTTGTCTTCATTAATAACATAGGTCCAAAAACCTGATGAAAATGCTGTTGTCAAAGCACGGTCCCCAATATACTCAGTAATAAAGATAAGACTAATTCTTGTAGTTGATGCAAAATGATGAAGTTAATTGCGACGATTTATGTTGTTAACAATGTGTAAAAGATGAAATGTGAATAGAACAAGCTCAATTACCTCTGGATCTTCTTCAATTGCATCCTCAGCCATCCCCCACGAGATACCATTAGCAAATGAAGCTTCTTCTTTAGCACGCAAAAGTGACGCTTCACGATCACGCATTTCTTCATGCTTTTTGACTTTTCTAAATTTATGCAAATCACCCTCCTGCATAATTAAATAAAGTAACAAATAAACTATAATTATAGATAAGAAGAGATCAATCATATTGGATACAAGACAATTATGTCATCTCAAGAAAAAAATTTCTGCAAGAGGCCTAACACATTGTTTTATATAATCTGAGTCGTATTTATACTCCCAACAGAGAGAAATGTAATTATAATTTTCAGCATTGCAATGCATGATACAGTACATCAGCACAAAAATTGCATACAAATTAAGGGATGAATCTATAACGTAATCACAAAAAGAGAAGAAAATTTAATCAATATGCTCTATAATGCGTACTTTACTCTGTTCCAATGAATTCAGGGATAACTTATCATTGTTATATCCATCTTGAATTATTTTCTTAAATATTTTTCACCCTGTTGGAGTTTTTGTTGTTTCCCTGTATTTTCAGAGTTCCTCAGAAGGGCTTGAGCAAATAAATTAAGGGGAGGAATCGATCTATTCTCTTTAATAGATTTTCTAGACTGTGAAATAGGTGTCATTCAACCCCATGCCCACCCCCAATGCAGTTCAAAAAGAACAGACATGAGAGAGAGAGAGACCCAGAGAGAGAGAGAGAACATGATGAATGTCTTGATGGTCAAGGGGAAGGAAAGGATATGGAAGCAATTAATTCAAGACGTTCAACTCTTATTCCAGTTGATGTAGAAATGGCGATTCTAGGAAATCAATTGATGTAGAAGAAGAAGAAGAATATTGTTGGTGAAATTTTGTCATCCATCGTCAACAAATTGAGATATTTTATGCTCGAGCAATGCATAGAAAATAATAAATTATCCCGAAGGACAAAAATATTATTTTTCTATGGACTCAATAACAAAACTCTAATTTTCTGTTTAAAATAGATTTTCCACTATTAAATATTTGGTTGAATAGGATTTAATTTATTTTGGGGTAAGAAAGACCCACATGGGTTTATTCTAGGGTACAGATGCCCCATTGGGGCTTGCACCTCAAACATTTGTTACTTGAAAATACTTTTAATGAAACTAGTGGTTTCTTTATAGTCATTAAAACATTGGCTAATATTTCATTCTTGAATTTGAGAAATTTCTTGTTTAAAAATTTAGTCTTTAGGAATTTCAAGAGAGATGTGATCAACTTTAAATCTGATTTTTAAGAATGAGGCAAAAGAGCAAGAAAATATAAGAGCACTTGATTCTAAGAAACTTAAAGGTGCTCAAACTATAATATATTGGGCTTTACATTTTAAACTTAAATTTTTGTTTAAGTTGATCAATTTGATTTAGCATGCTGGGGCTTATATTCAAACAACACATGTTGGAAAAAACATCTAAAGTGTGAGGGCTTATAAAGTGATTGGAGTCTACAACAACCTCGGATCCTAGAGCTAAGGTGAGGACTACTGATGGGTAGTACCTCGAACATAACTACATAAGTCTAGTGGAATGAAAAAAACTTATAAACAACATCTCATCTAAGACTACGTCAGCTCGACCTCTAAACTTACAATCTTGTCAGCAAAGGACTGACAGCTAACCTACCTAAATGCTTTTAAAATCATGTAATTTGGTCTCAATGTGTATGAACAGTAAGGAGGGTTGTTTTGATTTAGATAATATGACTTACAAGCAACAGCTTTCCATCTACAACAGTCTAATAATTTGTGGACGACAACATTTCATTTTGCTATGTAATAAATACTAAATTCTGTTGACGCATATTTTTGTATCGACCTGACCCCGATCAAGCCCGACTAGGCTCGATCGTTCCAATCGATCATCGTCGAGGAGGGTTGTTTTGATTTAGATAATATGACTTACAAGCAACAGCTTTCCATCTACAACAGTCTAATAATTTGTGGACGACAACATTTCATTTTGCTATGTAATAAATACTAAATTCTGTTGACGCATATTTTTGTATCGACCTGACCCCGATCAAGCCCGACTAGGCTCGATCGTTCCAATCGATCATCGTCGAGGCGAAATTAATCCAAATTAAGTCTCAATTTAATTAAATTAAATTTAAATTGAATCAATTCGAATCGAATCCCGTCGAGCGTCGTCGAGCCCAATTTGACACAATTCGGCACCATTTTGAGTTTAATTTCATGAAATTAACTCGACCGGACCCAAATCGACTCAAATCAATCCAAGTCAAGCTAGATTCGAACTCAATTTCAGCCCAAATCAGTCAATTTGGGCTAAATTGAGTCTCAAAATCAAAATGTGAGATCTAGGGCTGAGATTTTGCTTGAAGTCCCACCCAATTTCACATCAATTTGGCAGCAAAAAAATCTACTCAAGTGGATTTGTTTCGTTTCACTCTTCGAGGCCCGATTGGACGGTTCGGGCAGCTACCCGCTCGGTTCGTGCAGCTACCCGCTCGGTTCGTGCATCTCTAAGGGAGCGAATAGAGTGGGGGAGAGCCATTCGGCTCCCCTAGTGTTGTCCATCCCGATCGAAAAAGCCAAAGAGAGCGGGAGAGTGAGGAGAGGCGATTCTTCCCCTCCGTGCGACTCTACCAGGCGAATCTCCCCCTTCGTGCGACTCCACCAGACGGAACCTGGGCGTTTGTGTGCAGCTCTACCGTGCCTAGCCGAACTCCCCCTTCGTGCGACTCCTTCAGGCAGCAAAGGGAGAAAGGGGGTTTAAGGGTTTGAGATCTTTTCCTCATTCCGGAGAAGAAAATCAAAGGTTAAGACCTCCATTCACTCCCTTCCTCAAAGATCAGCGAAGTTAGTGGCTTTTCCCCCTTCCTCTTTCAACTTCGGCGACCTCGAGGCAACAAGCGAGCTGTTGGAAGCTTCCAAACAGCAAGGGGAGCCTCCAAAACCTTCCAAACAGCGGTTTGGAGCCTTCCAAACGCCTTGGACAGCGGCGGCGACATCCGAAGCGGCGGCGACAGTGATCCAGAGCTTGGACAATACTTGGAGCTTGGATAGGAGAGCTAGGACATTCCGGGAGAGGTATAACACTAAAACTTAGGAAAAGCCCTAAGGCCCCCTAGCCGTTGATGTGTGGTTGACGCTCCCAAGCCCTAGGTCCTTAGAAAACTTGATTTTTAACGGCCGTCATCGTCCACGTTATCTTATATTATTTGTAATTTTAAATTTTATTATGAATTTTCGTTTACCCTCACTTAAGGAAGGGTCGTCCTATGTAAGCCTTAGGGGCATATGTGTCTTGTTTTAGTTTCTTAGGCCTATATATAGAGGCCCTTTCTTATGTAATGAGATGATGAATTGCATTAATGAAAATTTTCTTTGCTTTCTCTTTGTGAAGTTCCATCTTTTAGATCTCTTAGTGAGTTCTTTTTCTTTTGAGATCTCTTAGTGAGTTCTTTACTTTGTGTTCTCTTTGTGAGTGGCATCCCTCTCCCAAATCTCTTATGGGTTATTGGGAAGAGCTAGATCTCTTTGTGAGTTTCTAGACCTTTTCTCAATTTTTCTTTGCGATCAATTAGTGTAAGAATTCAAGGAGAATCCGTCCGGATCGCATTCTTCCTTGAACCCTCCCTTCACCCGTTTCCACCTAGCACTTCCGCCGCCCCTCCTCCAACCCGCTCAGGCCGCCGACCTCCAAGGCCACTGCCTCCGCCGGCCAGCCACCTTCCACACCGTGGCCGCCCCTTCCTCCCTCCTCTAGCCGCTGGCTTCCCTCTCCTTGAATTTCAAAATTTTTACATAATTTCAAAGTAGCTCCTTAATTACGCCATCAATTTACTTGATTTTAATTTCAATTTTGAAATTCAAATTGCTTAAATTGATTGCCCTCCTAAATGGAAGTTTTCTTTCCTAAGAAAACTGAAAATTTATTTCAGATTTTTGTAAAAATCTGAAATTAAATTGGTGGTCCCCACTTATTCCAAAACTCACCCCTCTCCTCCTTATGTGGCCGGCCCCTCATTGGGCATAATCTCTCTCCTATCTCATTAATAGGCCCCCTCATTAAGCCTCTATAATTACCTCCCACAATTCCCTCTCATCCAATTTAATCTCCCCATTAAATTTGAGTTTAAATTCAAATTCATCCCGCAATTCCACTTAATCTGAAATTTAATTCAGATTTACCATTCTCTCTCCCCAAATTGATTTGGGATTTAATTAATCTTTGCCACCTAGGCAAGTAAATGGAATTTACTTTTCACATCAATATTATTCTCACATCTTCCCCATTCTCCTAACCCATGTTAGATGAGTGAACCCTTTTCTTTGGGCTACCCAAAGAGCCCAATTGAACTCTCATGATGCGTAGTTTGGCGAACGATGTGGCTCATTCTCTATGCCCAACATAAATTGGGTAGGTATCCTCCCTTTTTGAAACACCAATTGTTCAAAGAGTTTATTCCTATTTGCAACCTCTAAGTTGCATTTCTTCCATCATCTCCTATAAACGGAAATTATAGGAGAGCACCCGAATTGCACTTCACTTCCCCCTTCCTACAACTCAAAAGTTGTAGGAAATCATCTCATCTCCTAAGCCAAAATTAGGAGAATGCATGTCTACCCTTGAAAACAACAAATGTTCAAGAAATATTCGTGAACTTGCAACGCACATGTTGCATCTTCTCTCTTCTTCTCCACAAATCAAAATTGTAGAGAATTTCACTCCTCCTCCAAATTTGTAAGAAATTTTCTCTCTCTTTAGCTCAAAAAGCTAGGAGAGAGTCCTTTAACATTTAGCCCAAAGCTAAATGTTGGATTCTCATTTTCTCTCTTAGCCTCAAAGCTAAAACAATATTCATTCCTTTTCTAGATCCAAAGCTAGGGGAATTCCGTCCAAACAGTGAGCTCAAAAGCTATATGTTGGACACTTTCTTCCTTAGATCCAAATTCTAAGAGGACCCTTGTGTGACATACACACAAGCCCACACACTTAGGTGCACAGCCCCTTAGGCATGCTAGGATTACGATTTTTCTTTGTGTGCGCATGTGATTGATGATTTGGTGTGAATGCCTTTTTGGATTGTCTGCGTTGTAGACACTTGCCCTTAAGTGGTTAGAATAA